CATTCTCACCCCTTCTTACCTTTTTTAAAACAAAACTCGTCTGACTGGACTTTGCAAAGGTGTTTGCATACTGGTTTTAACCCTCTAGCTGATTTTAGCCCTTTGATAAACTTCTTCAGTTTGACCTTTTTATATCCCAAACATGTAGCATGATAAGTGGGCTACGAAAGCTTTTTAATGTTTACTGGATTAATAAGTAAATATATTGGTTTCTATATACAAATCAGAAGTAAGGATACAGTAGTGAGTTTTCCCCCCTGACTCTTGGGAAGGTGAAGAGATTCCAAGGCTTCCAGAGTTGGAAGATCAAACTCTGAGGGCAGAATGATAACCTGACATCTTTTCTCATCATTGGTCTCCAAAATGCTGCACAACAAAGGTGGTAATCTCTTTGAAATAATGAGAGAACACTGGGATTGGGAAAAGCACCTTGGAATAATCCACTCCCATTCCCTCTTCTAAAGAATCTGAGAGCCAGTGGCTTGTCCAACCAGCCAAAGTTAGAGCTAGAGCTGGACGTGTGAGCCACATCTCCGTTGTATTTTCGTTCACTCCTTTTCTGCTCATCTTAGATGGACTGAGGCAGCCATGTCAGAATGGAGAAAGCCTGAGAGAGACTTGCAGGATTGTTCTCTTACATAAAGCATCCACACCAAACCTGGATGGTTTCTGTATGTATTTTCCCTTTGTCCTACATTACCTTCCCATTTAAAGCTTTCATCGCCTCCACTGCGTCTTCGCGGTTAGTGAAGTGCACGAAGGCATAGTCTCGGATTTTCTTCACCCTCTCCACAGCACCTGGCAGTAGAGTGGAGCAGCCCCATTAGCATACTTGAGGTAGCACTGAACAAGGTATACTATAGCATTGAGCTTCCAAGAGTGTTGGGTCTTTTTTTCTTTTTGGAGATTCGATATTTGAGTAAGGATCTCATTGAGAATATTTTCTGTGTCCAGTTTTAAAATTCTGCACATTCAACAGAAGATTTTGTTTGTATTTTTTTTACTAACATGTTCTGCCTTATTATAATTAGTTATGGATTTCTCTTTCCACATCCTACATTATTCAGATCTTTGAGGGTAGGAGCAGTATCTTGTTTTGTAAATTATATAATGTGAAAGATAGTACCTTATACAGAGAATATTTGAGTAGAACTCAATTATTGGTCATTTTATAAATGAATATTTAGATTACCTTTTTAGATTTTATAGTTTTCCCCCCAGAAATATACCTTATCTCTTTTGATTTATATAGTAAAGTTTTAGAATTAGGAGAGACTTCAGCAATTATTTACTTTCATTTTTCTTTCATTCATTTTACCGTAATTTATTTTTAACTTAAAGATTAGGGATCTAAGGTTCTGACAAGTAAACAGGATTTATGAGTTCACACAGCTCTCCCATCTGCTTATCTGATACTCTCTTGATTAAAAAAAAGTTTCTGAAAGAACCTCTGAGAACCAAGATAATTCCTTATCATACTATTCATAATATCAAAAGGTGGGAAACAGTGTAGATATCCACTGATTCTAACATGAGGCACGTCTTTAAGAGAAGCATCCACACATAAGCAAAAGGATCACGAATAAGGATGTTGATGATTCCAGTCAATTGAAATAGCAAAAATAAAACAACTTAATGTTCATGTTCATGAGAGTGATTAAATCAGGCCCATTCACAATAAATAACAATAAGGAGCCTTTAAAGAGGACAAATAGGCCTATATATACTTACATGGAAAGATTCAAAACCTGTTATTAAATTTAAAAAGTTACAAAATATTAAGTATAATACTATAGCATTTATGATTTTTAAAAACCCCAACCCATATACGTGTGCACATAGATGTGAATACACACACAGAAAGGGAACTGGAAGGAGAAAGATCATACTGTTAACTGGAGTTACTTTGGAAATAAGGAGAAAGCTGGGGAGAAGACAGGGGTCTTTCATATTTTAATTTATATACTTTGGTATTTTACAAATATTTGCAATGTTAATTTATATTATTTATATATTTTATATGATATGTTTTATATAATAATTTATATTTTATAATAGAATTTTTCAATAATTTACATATTTTAATATAGAAATAGCATAATTTATATATTTTATAATTATATATTTTATACAATTATGTTTATTTATATTATCTATATTATTAAATAAGAAACCAACCTAATCTATTTTTATGTTAGGGGGACTGCGATATATATTAAAGGTGATGTGTAAAAATACAGTTCTACCAAGACAGTGGAACTTTATATTTCACACTTTATTATTAAAATGTTCCTTACTCAATTGTAGAAATAGAAATTTTGCCCAGAATACAGGTGAGTTAGAAACTTGTTTAATATTAACTTGTTAGTTTAGCTTGCAAATTATCGTCTTTTTGTTACATTCACTTGGGTGTATCTTGAGAGGCCGGGTTTTCTTCTATCCTTAGTTTCCAGAGACAATCTAGGATGGGACCCAGTGCCAAGGAGGACCAGAAGAGGAGATAAGTTCTCTCTTCTTTCCCTCTCCTTGTCAAAGTTGAGTTATCCACCTGTCCTCTTAGATTCAAGGTCACAAAGGCAATTAGGGTTTCTACTCTACCGCATGGTTCAGTGGCTATAAACTGTCTTCCTTTGGAATAATGGCAGGTCTGTAATGTAAGGGTAATTTAAAAACATCGTGGTACTTCTCTTCTTTCTCCCCTCAGCATTCAATCTTTGACTTCTTATGACAGTGGTTGTCCAGGGCAAAATTGTCTGGCTAAGCTGAGAAAATAAAGGTATTTGAGATCATGAACCATGGGACCTGTAACTAACTGAACTTCTAATATGGTCTCTTTATTCTTTCAGTGTAAAGTGGGATAATTATTTTGACTTAATCTCATGACTTGTCTTGGTCATTAAGAAGTAAAAAATGGGCCAGTGAGGACCTCTACCTTTCCAGCCTTTGCCCCATTCACCCCAGACCTACTGAATGTGAAACTCTAGGGGCGGAGCCAGCAATCTGTTTTAACATGCCCTCCAGGTGATTCTGAAGCTAAATGGTTTTCAGAAAATCTGATTTTGTAGAATAACTACAAATGGAATTTCAGCAGATACCCTGAGGCTACGCTGGGGAAGAACAAACATTTTCAGGCCACAGTTTCTGTTTTGATTGTCATTGATTTCTCTGAGTAGCAACATCATATTTTGAGGTTAATCAGGGTTAAAATAATATATGGTTAAATATTTTCAGGGAAAAAAATCTGTTTAATTTTGCTGAATCTGGTGTTAACAAACTTATTTGACCATGTACCCCTTTTATCAGTAGATCTACTAACAGTTTATAGAATTAATGTTCCACAGAACTGGCTTTGGGAAATGCTTGTTTTGACCCTGTTTCTTAAAGTGCTTTTCCTGTCTTGGTGTTGCAGTTTCTATATGAGAAAAAAAAGAGATAGGGAGTCAATCCTATGGTTTAAAATTGATAATGGAAAGTACCGACAAGGTGAGCAGCAACTAATTATTTGCCTCCACTTTCCCTTTTCCTTCCTCTTCACCCAAATGAATTTCCTAGAACTGTCACCTCCTTACTTAATTATGTACCTAAAATCACAATCCTAATCCATTAGACCAGCAGTTCTCAACTGTGGGCAATTGTGCCCTCCCAGGTACAAAAATGTCTAGAGACATTTTTGGTGGCCTGGGATGCTGCTAAAACTCCTGGAATGCACAAGACAGACCCCCACACCCAAGAGTGATCTGTTTAAAAATGTCAAGAATACTGAGATTGAGAAACCTGCTTTAAATCCATACTTATGGCCATGCATTCATTAACACAGCAAATATTTATTGAGCATCTGTTAGGTCCAGGCACAGAGAGGGGAGCTGAGGAGGCAGTAGAAACAAAAAGAACTCATAGAATTTATAGTTTAGTGAAGGAAATATGTATTCATTAAATAATAACATGGAAACATGTAAAATTATAAAAATATTGATAAATGTTACAGGACCATATGTCCCTGTTTTCTACTCCAAAGGTAGGAATATAGTTTTAGCAGTCTGTATGCAATTATGAGAATGACTATTGAAAGCTATACTATTTATACTTATGGGAAGTCATCTCAAGCATGTGTTTAAAGTGCATTTTGAAAAGTTAATCTCATCTGGTATGTCCTACCTGGTTTAATATTGTTGAATTCTTTCTCAATCATCTCTTCAGAGGTAGACAGCATTAGATTTCTTACATACAGGATTTTCACTGAAGACATCGTGTCTTCATCAACTTCTACTTCCGGTTCTGCCCAGTCTACTGCAATAGGATGTCCCCATAACTGAATTCTTCCTGTTGAAAATGGTCAGAAGTATGATTAATTATATAGAAATCAGAACAACATCATCTCAGTTCATACTAATGGCCTCTTAAATTGAACTGACCCTTGAGGTCTTGACTGAGCAAGAAGATTAATACTAAAAGAGGTGATTATTGATTTTAAGAGACAGTCCAAATAAATCTGTGAACTGGCTAGAAGGGAGTTCTGTAAGACAGCTGGCTTATTATAATGATTGACTATAAAGGGAACTAGGATGTGGTTTGAAATGGAACAGAAATGAGGCGGCAGTAGTCACATTTGTGTCTCAGAACATTTCTCACAGGGTGGAGGTAGTCATTGAAGATGGCGAAGGGGAGAAAGGGAAAGAATGGATCTAGGGCTCAGACATAAAGAGTCTGACTTCAGGAAGCATTAGAAAGGTCACAAAGAAGTGTGTCTGCTGCTGTTGGAATGCATGTGTCCAGGTGCCACTGCTGAGCTGTCCAAAAAAATGGTGCATGGGGAAGGGTGGGTATGGCTTAGGCACCCTCTAGTTTGTTCACTGACCCTTGTACTTGGCCAGAGATCTGGTCAACTGTATTCCCTCTGTGTTCTCTGTCAGAACATGGTCAACTCAGGAATCTAGAGAAAGGGTTATTATATTTTTCCAAATTAAGACAAGGCACAATGGGAGAGCCTAAAATGAGAAACTGAACTCATCTTAAAAAGGTAGATGTTACCATGACTACACATATTTTTGTATTGCTATAATTGCAATTTATGAGTGGCTCACCCTCTACTATGTGTTTCCCACATTCTGTCTCAGTTCCTTCTCACAGTAACTCTGTGAGGGCGGGAATGACTTTCTCAATTTTACAGGAGTGGAAATGAGCTTTTGAGAGGATAACTTGCCCAGATTGGTTTCAATTCTCCACTGCTCCCTTTTGTTTTTTGTTTACTCAAGCCCAATGTCCCTACATAGTGCAGATCCATGTTGAAGTGATGAGAGGAGGGTGAGGGTCAACTCAATTTCCAAATTGGATTGGAAATCTTGTTTATTTTTTATTTGTTGTTTCAGAACCAGTTATATCCTGGAAGCAATAAAAAGCTTGAGAGAACAAAATCAGAAATTCTCAGTATTGGTAAGGGTTTAGTTGTTTAATTATTACACACAGGAGGCAATTATTTTCAATCAAAATGTATCTTTTTGTGGGACTAGTATAGCTCAGTGGTAGAGTGCATACTTAGCATGCACAAGGTCCTGGGTTCAATCCCCAGTATCCATTAAAATAAATAAATAAACCTAATACCTCTCACCCCCCCCAAACAAACAAAAAACCCCCAAAATTTAAAAAAAAGTTCATCCTTTTATTCCTTGAAAAGCAGTCAATGAAAGCATCTGTGGTGCTGACTTTCTAAAACCCACGCAAAGAATAGACACAACCTAATGAGTTATCAAATCCTAGAGGGGCTGGCTCTTGCTGTTCCATTTGGCTGGCTATCTTGTTCTGTCTTGCATCCCGGAGAATGCTTTCTCCATTATTCTCTTTCCCCTTCCCTTTCACTCCCCTTCTACTTCTCCCTTCCATGTCCTTTCATTCCCTTTTTCTGTGCTTTATGTGGACTTTGCGAAAGGTCTCCACCCAGGATCCCTTAGGCTCCCAGGTGACTCTGTTTTCTGTAGCCCAATGGTTCTCAACCTCGGCCCTACATTGGAAGAGCTTTAAAAAATACTGAAATATGAATTCCACTCCATGGTGAGCTTGCTGGACCCAGTTTGTTTCCACCTGCAAGAACAGACTCAGTCTTTCAGAATTTTGTGAGTCAGTTGATGTCACCTTGGTAGCATGAAATAAGCGACAGTGGGAGTGTTAATACCAATGGGAATCCAAAAATGCTACAAAACAGGGCTTTTGATTTTCCCCTGGGAATTAGCTTGTCACTGACCTCTGGACCCTTCTTCCCAATTCTTCTTTTTTTTCCCTTGTTTCTTTAGGTAATTAGGTTTGTTTATTTTTTTAAACGGAAGTAGTGGGGGTTGAACCCAGGACCTGATGCATGCTCAGCATGGGCTCTACCACTGAGCTATACCCTCCCCTCTTTCTTAATTCTGATATAAGTGGTATGGGCCTGAGGATTTTTAAAGACACCTCAGTTAATTCAAACAAAATTGAGAACACTGTACTAGCCCATTGGCTTTTGCCTTCCCAGGCTGGGGTTACGGAGAGTCATTCACAGGCCTGAAAATCTGCAAAAGGCTGAAGAGGAAAGAAGGGGGTGGAGGTGTAGGAAGCAGTGATTTCCATATACATCCCTGGGAAAGTCACATTGGAGAGTGACTTGTGAACATGAGCTTTGCAGTCAGACAAGTTCAAATAACAGATCAATGATCCTGTCTAGGAAACAACCTTTCTAAACATCACTTTCCTCACCTGTAAAATTGGGGTAATGCAAGTACTTACTTATTAGGGTTGTCGTGAAGGCACAAGAAGATGCATATAAGGGACTGAATTTATTGCTTTTAAACGATAATTCAGTAATGTACTTTCCTCTTGTTAATTTTTGGTCTATTTTTCGGTATGTATAGTTTCCTTAGAATATATACTGTTTTGAGTCCAATGTGAATGGTGTCATTCACTCAAATTTGATTTTTTTTTAAGAACCTCCCTTGTCATTTAGAAGAAAGCAATGTACTTTATGGATGCTTAATAGATGTTTCCATACTAAGCAGTTCCCCAGGTGTTCCTGTTTTTTTCCTGTGCAGATGAATGGCCATTATCATTAGTTGATTGATTTAGCAGTGGATCATAAAATTTGACTACACAACAGAATTTTCTGGAAAACTTAAAATACCACTGCCCCAACTTTGCATCCCAGAGCAGCAGATTCAGTTAATTAGAGGTTACTTTGGGGACTAGCATTGTTTACAAACCACCTCATGTTATTCAGATTTGTAGCCCACCATGGACAAGTCTTGATTTAATTGACCAAATCTCAAACCTGTGGTCTCAGGAGCAGTAGCATCCTGGGAACTTGTTATAAATGCAAATGATCAGACCTCATCCCAGCCCTACTGAATCAGGAACGCTCACGGTGAGGCCCCAGCAATCTGTGCTTTAACAAGCCCTCCATGGGATTCTGACCTAGGCTAAAGTTAAAAACCACTGTTGGAACTTTTTTCTGAGCATCCTTAGAATGGTTTGATAACCTCTGAATCGGATGCAACAACTGCGTTCCGTGTACACCTCAGTAAAGATGCAGTGTCAAGGAGCTGCCAGTGTTTGAGGAGGTAGGAGGTGAGGGAGCCCGAACACCACGTTAGACAACAGTTTTCTCCCTGTCTCAAGTCTGGATCAATTAAGAAGGAAAAGCTTCTTGTGGTCCTTGTTTATCATGTTTCTTAAAGATCTCCTCAGTCTTTCAAACTAGGCTCTCCAGAGGCTTTCCCATTACTGAAATTCTGTGCTGTTTAATCTACGGTGAAGTAATAAGTGGATGTCCAAATGGGTAATAGGTTTTCCTCTCGGGCTTCAGCAGAAATGAAACAATCTGCACTGGCTGGCTTACTCCCGACTGTGCCACATCTTGTTAGTCCGCTGACGAGGCAGTCTGACTAAAATCCAGCTGACTGAAACCCGACTCAGCTGAGGCCAACTTAAAGGGCCACAGGCGAGGGGCGGGGCTGCCTCAGGTCCCCGGGCCGCGCGGGGAATGGGGGCGCGGGGAGGTGGGGATGGGTAGGGATGGGAGAGTGAGGTAGCCTCTACAGTGCCCCATCCTGGACAGAAAACCCATGGGGCCAACTCAGGGCCTCCTGTGGTGGACGCATAACACAGTGCTGGAGAATTCCTGACGCCTAGCTGCTCAGCTCTGCCCCAGCTCAACTCAGGTAAAGACAGAAGCCGTTTCTGCGTCAGTGTGCTATTTTTTCTTAGGAAGGGAAGCTGACAGGAAGTTCCATTTCGCTAGGAACACTGGCTCCTGAAACTCTCTCCCATTTTGGACCCTCTTTCACTGCCATCCTCCTGAACCCCCAAGTGAGTGTACATATCTGTTTTTACAGGAAATGATGGAGGAAAGTGATTAACGCGGGCTGGAGTAGTGGAAGCTGGTTTCTCAATGAAGTGGTGGCTAAGCTGGGGCTTTGAACGCCGGGAGTCAGTAGAGGAGGAGGTGCAGGTCCCTCTAGTAGGGGAGACAGCATTAAGAACAGAGGATACAGACACGAGCATGGCATTGTCTAGGACATTGACGAGTTTGTCCTGATAGAAAGGAGGTTTTTAATTGAGAAATGTAAGATACAAATAGGGTTGAAAGGAAATGGGGCCCTGAATGAAAGGCCTTGAGGCTCAGAGGTTTACTCTGTATCGTGTATACAGCAACAAGTCGCCGAATATGTTTGAACTGAGGCGGGAAGCCCCATTAAAAAGACTGGCAGGGCCGCTGCTCTCCTCCCACTAGCGTCCGGTTCCCTGGCCCAGAGACTCTATCTCACTTTTTGTCTCTAAAGCGGCTAACTTACACCTAGAATTCTATTGGTTCCCTGAGCTCACTTTCCTTCACTCCTGATTGGTTATTCTCTCTCTTCT